TTTATTGTATTTTATTTATTGTGTCATTTCTATTATTTTTTTATTTATTATTTAATTTCCAAAAAGCAATGGATTATTTGAATCTTTTTTTAAACACAAATGACACATTAATTATAAATTAATTAATGTACTCAGTTTAATAATTTATATTACATTGAAATTATTTTTTATTAATTTTCTAATGTATAAAATCTTGTGCATTTGTATATAATATTAAAACACAACTAAAAAATAAATAAATAAAGACACTCGTCTCACTTGAGAACCTGTTGGCATTACTATATTTCTTACAGAAAGTCTCACTAAATGAATCAGTCAAACATGAATATTTTTTACACTGTAAAAAAGTTGTAAATAAAACAATTATAATACTAAACAGGATTTACTTTGCAATTAATTTACTAGACATTTGAGTAAAAGTTGTTTCAAAGAAACCTAACACAATGGATTAAATATGAAACGAAGTAGAAAACTAAAATAGTATTTTCTTGTAAAAGATCCTCCAATAATCTTTGTTTTATTTACAACTTCATTTTTTTTAAAGATAAAAAAATACTTTTTCTTCCAGCCAGCTGTTGTACAGGATCTCCTATGAAGATTTGTCATTTTTATTGTATTTTGTATTGTAATATTTAAAAAAAAATGTTTACTTTATAATAATTATTAATAGAGCTATTATAAATTTTACAGTAAATCCTTTTTGTATTTTTATTTATTATAAAATTATGTGTATATGTAAATAAGTGTCCATGTATAAAATATTAAAATACAATTAAATATTTTATCCTCATATAGATATTTTTGCTAATTTTACTATCACATCTATAATTTACCCATTAGCATTTCTGCAAAAAAATATTTTTTTCTTCCAGCCAGCTGTTGTACAAGATCCATGTCTCTGCCTGATAAGGTGTGCGACATCTTATCTATCTCCTTTGCATCCCTTAGGAAATGATCATATGTCTACAGTCTCCGTCTGCAGAAGCCTTATCAGCGAGCGCTGATGTTCCCAGGTAATAAAAGTACAGCAACCTGCCTGTGTTACGTTGGGTGTGTGGAAGACCATTCCCTCCGTGGGAGCCCCGAGGCCAGTTAACCATGAAATAATTGATGCCTCTTCTATTGTGGAGGATGAATAAATAATGTACATAATCGAGCTTACATAATGATGAATAGTTAGTATCACTTATATGTTCAGGTAAGTTTGCAAATTCCTGAACATGTTTTAGTGGCATGTTTAAAATCTATTTAATATGCAAATTATTGTGCATCATGGGTTATTATATAAAGTAAAAAAATAAAAAATAAAAAAAATAAAAAAGTAAGAGTTGCTACTACTTGAAATAAATATTAACTAAAAATATACAAATGTTTTTGAAATTTAATTTTAGCTAGTTGCCAAAGCATCATTGAAATGAACTTGATGTACTAAAATAACCTAAAACTAAAATATAATTAATAAAAACAATAGACATTAAACGAAATAAAAACAAAACAATTAATTTAACTAAAATCAAAAAAAATATATAATGCAAAATACAAAAATAATAATTTAATTATATAATTCAAAATATTAAGCATCTCAATGATACTAAAATAACACTGTCATTAACTCTGAGGTATTCTGAGTTTTACTTTAACTTAGATTAAATATTAAATAGCTGTTCAGTTTCATGTCGAAAGTCTAATTTGGTAACAATTTTTGGAGTTGCTGACCTCCAAACTTATAAACAATTTATTTGAAGTATTTAAAGTGTTTTCGGTTTAAAAGAGTAAAACTTTTATTTATGCAATAATGCTGCATTTTTATTCAACATTGTTTTAGATTATAATAAACATTTTATAATTTTTTATTGTTATAAATTTAAAATTATTTTGTCATTTTATATTTCTTTATTCTTATAATTTCTGTATGTTATTTTATACACTGTAAAAAAAAATTTAAATGACTTCAAAGTTGTAAAAAACATTGGACTACTTTTTGTAAGGAAATACTATTTCAGTCTTTCTACTTCAAAAATTCATGCTCAATTCTTTTTCTTTGTAAATTAATTGCGAAATCTACTAGCAGTTTCTGAGTGAAAATTGTGCACCAACTGCTTTTCATTTTACACTTAAAAGAATTTTATTTAAATTAAGTATTTTAAATTGAATATTAATTAATGCATGTCAAGTGGTTTCACCATTTACAAAGTTTCAATGTGCAGAACTCTCCCACTTGATAAGACAGCCCACTACAAGAATTCCACCGGATTCCACTCATTGACCATACTTGCTTTCTTTTATTTTTTCAGATTTTTTGATGCAGTGATCAATCAGCCAGTCATTAGTCAAGCAGGTGAAAAACCTTTAGACAAATACAAACACCACTGTAAGAGCACTAATAAATATAATCAAAAATACCAAGCAAAACTTGTATACAAAAATGTTCTTTTTTAAATTAACAAAGAATATCATACAAGTAGACAACAGATATTTAACCATTTATATACTTTTACATACCAAATACACTACTTTTTAAATAAATGATTTTAAACTTTTTACAACTTTTAATTTAAATATACTCTCTATATAGAAAACCAGACCTAATTCACAAACCAAACTAATACAAAACTAATGATATTCAAATACAACATGATTGAACAAAACAACCCAAGTACAAAATATTAAAGCTCACCGGCTGCTTCTTCAGTTTGTTGTAGTAGCTTAACTCTGCACAAAAAGGAATCTTTTTCCTTGTTCAAACCACTGCTACTCTACATAAAGTCTGTTCTGCCCTGCTAATTAATAGATTAACTTAACTACCGTCACCTGGTGTTCTCTCACTAGTGAATTCTAGTGCACTCTGGCTAGTGCACTCTAGTTAGGAAGGGCGGAGCAAGAGCAACCAACAGTTTGCCACAACAATGCATATCTCATGGTTATTTTTCTTTTCTTTTTTTTTGTATTTTTTTATTCTTTTTCATGGTTTTAATTATACTGTATCTTCTTGTTTTTTAATGTTTGTCTTGTTTTTAGTATATGTCAATTGTTCTGAAGCCACATTGTGGAAAACAGTTTCTAAAATATAAAGAACTTTAACAATTCACATGACCCGTAACAATACGCCACTTCAGGTTTGCAACAAGTAGACTCAAACAACAAGTGGATAGCTGTTTCCCAGGGGGCTCAGGTTTGAATTGGGGCAATAGAAGGGACGGGTCAGGATTCACACCACCATACGTAATGGATGATTTAGCACGGCACACTTCCTTCATGTCGGATCTGAAACGGGAGCCAGAGTCACGGGTGTGGGAAATCCTGGGAGAAGCCGGCCCCACACATGATGGGCTAAGCGCCCCCACCCCGTCAGCCACACCAGCTGTCTGATGAAACTAGCTGACAGCACACAGCGCCTATTATCAAGGATTTCAAAGTACAAACACGAATATCAAGCCCCTGCGCTCTTTCTCACACACTCAACTCTATAGTCATGCTCAAACTCAGCTAAGTCTAGTTTAATACATGCCATTTATCACATGACGTAAAAAATGTTTAAGATATTAAAACTGAAGACACATGGGACAAATATAGATATTTCTAAAGTTATAGCAGCTGGCATGTGGTTTTATGCTCATTTAATAGGCCAACATGTAGTGTTAGGGATAATAAATTTTTAATTGTTTCCCAAAAAAAATGTTATGCACAAAGGCTTTTTGCACACTGATAAAATGTATACACTCTCAGAAAAAAGGTACAAAAGTTGTCACTGGCAGAACCTTTTCAAAAGGTACACTTCTGTACTTTTTTTTACCCCTAAAGGGTGCATATTAGTACCTTAAAGATACATATTAATGCCTAAAATGTACATATTAGTACCTAAAGGTACATATTAATACCTTTTGAAAGATGCCAGTGCCCCATTCAGATAAAAGCATCTGCTAAATGCATAAATGTAAATGCTCACACAAGGACTTTTTGTAGTCATTTTGGGATATTCTTTGACCATTAAGTGTAAATGGACTCACATCAGGTGAAATTGAGACCACTTGATAATTTGACAAGTGTGGTGGTGGTTTTTTGAAAACACTGTTTAAATTTCAAAGGTTCATTAAGAGCATGCAGTACAAAGCATTTGTTTTGATTAATAATGAGGAAAGCAGTACTGATTATATTCAAAAAGTGTTTATTTCTATGTGACTATGTTTGCACAATTAACATACAGTGTCACTATATATTAGAAAAAAATCACATCCTTCATAAGAAGAAACTATAACATTTGCATATCAAACATTGCAAATAATCACTTTGTCTTTGACTCCACAGGAGTTAAACATATATTCATTGACTCTTCATTGCGAAGTTTCTGTCCATCCATGAGGAAAACTATAGAGGTGTTGCAATAATAATATAATTATATTATATATTAAATAATAATATTATTATAATAATAATATAATATAATCACCTGTAGAAAATTAGACTTTCACATTGTGAAACCCATTTCCATCCATAAACTAAGCAGAAGTGCCATAAAAAGACATTCTTTCAAGAAATTAAGTGAAAGTGACGTGTGGCGTCCCATACTCAGAATTTGTGCTCTGCATTTAACCCATCCAAGTGCACACACACACAGTAGTGAA